GCTCTTCAGAGACAGGGGAGAAGGGACTCGGGACACTCATCCCTTCATTGACCAGAGGACTAGACTGGCTCTGGAAAACACGGCAGTACCCCTGGCCTCTGGCAAGTTCAAGGGGAAGTCAGTGTCCCTCTGGAAACTTCTCTTCTCAGACAACTTCACGAGCGAGCAACGAGCCACGCTGGCCCAGCAGTTCCGCACTGCGAGTCTCTCCCTTCCAGAACTGACTCAAGCCATCAGTGCCACTGTTCAGCAAATGGCTCTAGACTGGCTCTGGAAAACACGGCAGTACCCCTGGCCTCTGGCAAGTTCAAGGGGAAGTCAGTGTCCCTCTGGAAACTTCTCTTCTCAGACAACTTCACGAGCGAGCAACGAGCCACGCTGGCCCAGCAGTTCCGCACTGCGAGTCTCTCCCTTCCAGAACTGACTCAAGCCATCAGTGCCACTGTTCAGCAAATGGCTTCCCCCACTAACATCGCCTTCGAAGGCCTGAGGCACAAGGTGACACCTCAGCAGCTCCTGAGCTCCGAAATCATCGACAGGGAGCTGTTTGAGAAGCTGCGCCAAGGAGAGACGTCTGTCGGAGACGTTGTCAGCATGGACACAGTCAGGAAGTACCTGCAAGGGACCAGCAGTATCAGTGGGCTGCTGCTGCCCGAGTCCCATGAGAAAATCAGCATCTATCAGGCAAAGAGGAAAGGCCTGCTCATGCCAGGGACGTCCCTCGTCCTCCTCGAGGCACAGGCTGCCACGGGATTCATTATCGACCCGGTTGCCAACCAGAAATACTCTGTGGAGGAGGCGTTGCGAGCCAGCGTCATTGGCCCAGATGTTTACCATAAGCTGCTGGCCGCAGAGAGAGCAGTCACAGGCTACAGGGACCCCTACACCGGAGACAAGATCTCCCTCTTCCAGGCCATGAGCAAGGGCCACATCGTCAGAGACCACGGCATCCGCCTGCTGGAGGCCCAGATCGCCACCGGCGGCATCATCGACCCCGTGCACAGCCACCGCGTCCCTGTGGAGGTGGCCTATAAGCGGGGCTACTTCGACAAGAAGATGAACCTCATCCTCTCCGACCCCAGCGACGACACCAAGGGCTTCTTCGACCCCAACACGCAGGAGAACCTGACCTACCTGCAGCTGAAGGAGAAGTGCATCACAGAGCCCTCCACCGGACTCTGCCTCCTGCCTCTGAACAGCAAGAAGCGCCAGTTCATTGACAATGCCACCAAGCAAGCCTTCCAGAGCACCTGGCTCCTCGTGAGGTACGGGCGGTTCCGAGGAGAACGGGTCTCCACGTGGGACCTGCGGAAGCCCGAGTATTTCAGCGA